AAAGCCTGTAACCTTGAATGATTTTCCCATGACACTAATAATAAACTGTATTTATTTAGTACTTACTAAGTGTTTCATATTAAAGACATTATGTGCCATAGTGCCATTTGTTTCCCACAACAACATTATCATCCTATTTTATAGACGAATCAAATGGAGCTAGAAACCTAGCAAATATCATAAAGCTAAGAAGTGGAGAGCAGGAGTTAAACTGAGATCTTTCTGTTCTCAGTTCTTCTGTTCTTTCCAAAGTAAAGCACATCTGGAAAGGAGATTTACTTTCTGTAGAAAAGAAACTCTTCTTAAAATGGGGATTGGGTAAAACCTAAGCCTGGCTATTGGTAAAGTTTTATTAGAGGTAAGGGGAACTTCAAAGGCAATATGATTCTATCTTCTAACTTTTTAAGTGAGGAAGCCAAGACCTAGAGATGGCGACTTGCATGTGATCCTGAAGAAGGTCTACTGTCTCCAGCAATTGTGAATGGATGACTCTTGTCTGACAGTTTTTGGCTAGCCTGGGCAAAATTTCCAGCAACTTCGGATCCCCAGCTGGGCTATCCCTGAGACTATCTAACCTTCATATGGTGTTTCAGATTTTAAGTGACCTGAAATGACAAGGAAACAAGAATTTAAGGCACAAATGGGCAGTAGCATAAGAGTGTGTGATTAGATATCCTTTGTGTCTATGCAATTTTGGCCAAATGTGCAAACTCTCAGGAAGAACCTACAAGTGAGATCAGAATAACAGTCAACAAATGGGAATTCTCCTTAAGGTGAAAGGGTTCCTGATTTAAAGATTTTATCTCTTCCTCTGCAAAGTCAGAGAGGCCCCTGTAATGAAAAAATATTGCTCCAAGAATGTATGGCTGAAGCTTGTATGAAAGTATCCAGGGTTGCATATAGACTGTAAGTACCTAATTATCCTCTAGACCGGTGCCATCAAGGATAAGTGGCATCAATTAAAATTAAACGGACATCAATTGAAATTAAATCTAATTAAAATTCAATTGTGTTGCAACAGTCACCTTTCAAGTATTCAACAACCGCATATAACTAGTGGTTATCATTTTAGATTGGGCAGAAGTAGAATATTATTATTATTGGAGAAAATTTTGTTGAACAGTGATATTCTAGTCTGTATAAATGTTCATGACTAGAAGTGAGACTTTATTATTTATTTAAAGGAGAGTCTTCTTTGAGAAGAGCTTCATAGAGGAAGTGGCAACTGAGATTACTTGCAAAACAATTCAAAATTAGTCATGAAAATGTTGGGGTGAATTAAGGCAGGAGTCAGAAGCTGTGACAGCCATCCTAGACCAGGACATAGAAATTGCCTTGTAGAATGTTAGTAATTTTGGAACTCTGAAGGGTAAGATGCATGAAGAAGCATGATAGGAAGTCTGACTAAATAGATGACCTAGTGAGCTACTAAAGAACTCTGCCTATTGTTATAAGGAGTTTGAATTTTCATGCTGGGCAGGAAGGATAACTCTTCAAGGATTCTCTGTAGAGATAGCTTGGGAATAACTTGTCCAAAAATTACTCTTGAAGTGGGTGAGAATGAGGATGAAAGGGATATTTTGGGAGAAAATAAAGAAAAAAGCAGGCTGAAAAAGCTATTGTATTTACCCCCATGTTTATTGCAGCACTATTCACAATAGCAAAGATATACAATCAACAAAAGTGTTAATCAAAGATGACTGCACAAAGAAAGTGTGATATATGTATATGTATGTATGTCACACCCAATAGAATACTATTTGACCATAAAAAAAGAATGAAATCATGCCATTTGCAGCAACATGGATGGAACTGGACATTATTATGTTGAGTGAAATAAGCCAGATGCAGAAAAGCAAATATTGCATATTCTCACTCATATGTGGGAGCTTAAAAAATTGATCTCATGGAGGTAGTTATTCCTGCAGAGATCTCCATAAACAATTTTTTAGGCTTTATTTATTTATTTATATTTTTGAGGCGGAGTTTCACTCTTGTTACCCAGGCTGGAGTGCAATGGCGCGATCTTGGCTCACTGCAACCTCCGCCTCCTGGGTTCAGGCAATTCTCCTGCCTCAGCCTCCTGAGTAGCTGGGATTACAGGCACGCACCACCATGCCCAGCTAATTTTTTGTATTTTTAGTAGAGACAGGGTTTCACCATGTTGACTAGGATGATCTCAAAATCTTGACCTCGTGAATCACCTGCCTCGGCCTCCCAAAGTGCTGGGATTACAGGCTTGAGCCACCACGCCCGGCCAATTTCTTAGGCTTTTTACCATGGGTAACCAATTTAAGAACATTTATACCAAACACTCAAATCTTCATTGACACAGAAGGAAGACTTGTAGAGAGTTTGAAAGATATATTTTCTTAAGCCATGTATCTGACCACTGTGAAGCTTTGGCCACTTGGCTATTCCAAAATTAAGTGATAAAAATTGATAAAGAGATGAGTAACCTGTTCTGCAATTATACAGGCAGTAGGAAAAATAAAAAATAAAATAAGTGATAAGTAACCTGACTGTTGTCATCAAGATGTTAACCAAGAACTGTCAAAACATGCTTATGTAACATTATAATAATTAGAGATAACAAAACATGACAAGTTCCTGAATACCTGATATATTAGCTATTGTGTTGGCCCATTCTCACTCTGCTAGTAAAGATATACCTGAGACTGGGTAATTTTTAAAGGAAAGTGGTTTAATTGAGTCACAGTTCAGCATGGCTGGGGAGGCCTCAAGAAACTTACAGTCATGGTGGAAAGGGAAGCAAACACATCCTTCTTCACAGGGTGGCAGGAAGGAGAATAAGTGCTTAGGGAAGGGGGAAGCCCCTTATACAACCATCAGATCTTGTGAGAACTAACTCACTAATCATGGAAACCACCCCCACGATTCAATTATCTCCATTATGGGAACTACCATTCGAGATCAGATTTGGGTGAGGACACAGCTATTATTATTTTTTTAAGTTTTCAGGATGTATGGGAGACCAGGCACTGTGCTAAACTCGAAAGTGCTTTATACATTTATTTTCTAAGTATTATTAGCTCTATAAAAATAGAGAAAGCTGAGAAAGAAAGGATAAAAGCATCCTGACTTTATCCACATATTCAGTAAAGGAAAAACCTAGGCTCTGAATACTAGCTGCCTCACCCCAAAGCACTTGTGTATGACTTCTATGTTCTTCATAATTTTGTGTACTGCTCATAAGAATCTTGAAGATAAATATCATTAGAATCACTTTGCAGATCATGAACCAAAATTCTGATGAGTTAAATAAATTGTGCAGTACCACACAGCCCTGCATAAATAGCCAAACTGACTTTCCAATTTAGATAATTGATTCAAGGTCTATTTTCTTTCCAGTGTCTTCCTGGCTTCTAGTGTTTCATCTTCATGAACTGTCATAGACTTTATTGATAGTGAAGACAATTAGAGAAATTCAGGGCTGGTCAGGACCCAGAAAATGATCACATCCTTCTCCCTGGTTCCTGGCAAGACAGGAACTCTACCTGCTTAGTATCAAGCTGAAGAGGGTTCTTTTATAAATAGCATCGATATTTCTACATTATAATAGTCTTACATACTTACTGAAGAAAAGCTGGAAAGTAGAGAAACAACTTAAATATCCAAAATTTTATTTATTAATATTCTTCTTAAAAAGGAAATGTATCTCTTTGCTTATAGCCCTTCTCATATAAAATGACAGTTCCCATATCTTTAAATATTTTTCTACATTATGATTTTAAAAACAGCTTCAAGTCCCATTAAATGATAAACCATGATGTATTGAAGCAATTTAGATTTTTGCCAATTAGGTTACCATCCTTGGCTAATGTTTGTGGTTATTTTCTTATGACCAACTCCAACAAATTGAATTTTGAGATGGGGCAATAGAATTTTAATGTTTTTGATATATGGTATTACAAAAAATGTATGCCCGTTGGTGTTTCTAGCAATAGAGTGTGAATGTATTCATTTTGTGTATTCTTGCCAATTCAATTGGCAAAAAATGGCATCTCTATTTTAAATAGATTTTGGTTTCAACTGTGGCAGGCTGAATCATGCTCCCCCCCAAAAAAACTGACTATGTCCTAATCTCTGGAACTTGTGAATATGTTACTTTATATAGTAAAAAGAATTTTATAGATGTGATTGAATTAAGGATTTTTAGATGGGAAGGTTATCCTGGATGATCTTGGTGGGCCCAATGTAATTCTAGAATCCTTGTAAGGGGAAAACAGGAGGGCAAGAGTTATAGAGAGAAGATGTGAGGATGGAAGCAGAGGTCAGAGATGAGAGAAGATACTATGATGTTGCTTTGCAATTGGAGGAAGGGGCCGTGAACCAAGGAATGTGGCCATCCTCTAGAAGCTGAAAAGGCAAGCCACAGATTCCCAAAGAACCTCCAGAAGGAACACATTTGTATCAGTCTATTTTCATGCTGATAATAAAGGCATACCAAGACTGGGTAATTTACACAGGAAAAAGGTTTAATGGACTCACAGTTCCAGATGGCTGGGGAGGCCTTACAATCATGGTGGAAGGCAAGGAGGAGCAAGTCACAGCTCTGCAGCAGGCAAAGAGAGAAGTTGTGCCGGGAAACTCCCCCTTATAAAACCATCAGATCTTGTGAGACTTATTCACTACCACGAGAACAGCATGGGAAAGACCCACCACAATGACTCAGTTACCTCCCACAGGGTCCCTCCCACAACATGTGAGAATTGTGGAAGCTACAATTCAAGGTGAGATTTGGGTGGGGACACAGCCAAACCATATCAACATCCTTGCAGACCCATTTTAAATTCTGACTTCCAGAACTCTAAGATTATACATTTATGCTGTTGTAATCCACTGTATTTGTGACAACTTGCTCCACCATTCTTTCTTCTTATTTTTATATTTGTTTTCCCCGTGGCCCTTAGCTCATTTTTTATATTGTTGATCTTACTTTCTACCTATGGCTTTTTCTTTTCTTTTCTTTTTTTCAGTCCTCATATGGACTGCCAAAAATTGCCAGTGCCGGCTATATTTTAAGTCGTCATGGTGGGCTATTGGGAAAAGTTTTCAATTAGCAACAATTGCATCTTGGATAAATCTCATTGGCTACGATACTGCCACTGCACAAAGCTTACCTATGGCTTTTTAAAGGCTCTTTCTATATTAAGACTATTAGCCATTCTTCAGTCACATTGCCAATATTTTCTCCAATTGTTTGTCTTGTAACTTTTTTCATTCTTTTGTATGTAGTCTTTTCCCCTGATAGGATATAGAAATGAGAATCATTATAACCTGTAGTATCAGAAAGTCTTGGACTTAAGTTTCAGCTCTAATTTTAGACAAGTTGTTTTACCCCCCTGAGCTCTAATTTTCCTATATGTACATTGGGAAAATAATAATATCAGCCATATAAAGATAATTGTAATGATTAAATGAAATAATGCATGTAAAGAGTTATGATTATATCTCATATTTAGTAAGTAATCAATACAGATTAGATATTCATTTTACTATTATTGTCATCTTTTATTTTCTGGTTTAATTTTTTATCTACATAATAGTACATGTTTACAGGGTACATGTGATATTTTGATACAAGCATACGATATGTCATGATCAATTCAGGGTAATTGGGCTATCCATCACCTCATTTATCATTTCTGTGTTTTGGGAACATTCCAAAACTTCTCTAGCTATTTTGAAATATATAATACATTATTGATAAATATAGTTGTCTTACTATGCTATTAAACACCAGAACTTATTCCTTCTATCTAATTGTATGTACTGATTAACCAACCTCTCCTCATTCCAATCTCCCCCTACCCTTCCCAGCCTCTGGTGATCACCATTCTACTCATTATCTCCATGAGATCAACATTTTTAGCTCCTACATGTGAGTTAGGATATGTAGTGTTTGCCTTTCTGCACCTGACTTATTTCACTCATGATAATGTCCTTAATTTCCATCCATGACACTGCAAATGACAAGATTTCATTCTTTCTTATGGCTGACTAATATGGTTTCTTTCTCTGCTGAAGGACTTGGGGTAGGCAGTTTTGCATTTTATCTTGGGTCCATTCAATAGCTCCAAATTTCATATAGTTAGGAGCTTGCCTTTTTCAATCTCAATCAAATTATTCCCAGGACAAATTACTGCCATTTTCTTGTCTCTCAGACATTAAAGGAGAGTAGCAAGTCATCCTTATTTTCAGTCTGACCCATGATGAACTTGATGACCTGTCATTACAGTTAGCTGGGAAGCCTGGTTGCTGATGGATGCTTTGCTCTTTCACTCTTTAATTGGTAGATGAGGAAGAAAGAGGCAAAAAGAAGTCTTTCCCCATCACTCTCTCAGTTGATTCTCCAGAAGATCATTTCTATTTTAATCTCAGTAATGGCAGGTGATGAAACTGCCAGTAAGTTCCAGGCATATTAACAGCTGGCTCAAAGGTAACAATATGTATAAATGTGAGCTCTAATCCAAGCTTTTTTGCAAAATGAAACCGTCTAGAAGTCAAACATCTGTTAAAAGAACGCAGAATTCTAGGCAGAATATATCCAGAAGCAACTTGTATAACCTGCTAGTGCTAGTGCTTTTTGTTCTCATGATTTTTTTTTCAAATGAGTTTGCTTTTTGAAGTGGTGGGGGTGGGTAGACAAAAGTAGAAATGTCTTTTTAAAATACTCCAAGTACATTGAGTTTTCTTTTCTTTGATTTTGGATCAACATTGATTTGGCAGAATTTGGAAAAAGATTTCTTTTTTCTAAGAGCAAAAGAACTTTAGTCCAGAGTGCTTTATTTCCACTATCAGCAGAATTCTGAGGTCATTATTATAGAAAATGACAGTTTGCTTCATAAGGGTTCAGATCATTTTTTTTGATGCTCAAAGTTCTGACTATCAAATTTTATGCTCTGTGATTGCAGGGGTGCTTCTATTCTCTGTCCTAGTGTCAGAATTCTCACAAATGAACAAACAAAACAAAACAAACAAATACATATGAGATTATTATAAATGGGTTTGCTTATACCTACTGTCCCTTTGATTTGAAGTGACCATAATTATTACTTCATCTCAAATTATCTATTTAGGAGCATCTGTTGAATGTCTAATATCCTAAAAGTTGTGAGTATAGGAGAGAAAATAAAGCAGATTACTCTTTGACATTATGGTACTTGGTATGCTCTACATTTAACAGGCAAGAGCAACCCTGGTCATCTACATGCTCTGGAAGATATTCCAGATTCATATAATATCATCTGGAAGATATTCCAGATTCATGTAATATCATCTGGAAGATATTCCAGATTCATGTAATATCATCTGGAAGATATTCCATCTGGAGATAATCCAGATGATATTACATGAATCTGGAATATCTTCTTTACTCAATTGCATAGAATGTACTTGGTAATCCATCCTACTGAACTAGCATGTTATTCTATTCAAATGCTTTTCATTAGCCCAGAATCCCAATTGTCCAGCACTCCCTCCCTTCTCCTGATCCAACAGAGATGCCAAGCTTTTCCCTTCTATATCACCTATCTCTCCCCAAGGAGTGCTGCCTTCTCACAGGGTCACTTCTTGTCTTGCAGACTCGCAAGTTCTCTTCCTTTTGAAGCTGCAGTGCCAGAATTCTGATTCCTCAGTTGTCAGGACTGTTCTCTATTTTCCCACTCAGGACAGGTTCCTCTCTTGCTGTGAGTGATGTTATCTGGTTTCTTTTGCCAATTGGATCCATCACACTTTCTTCTTTATCACATAGCCCTCACTAGGCATGACTCGAGATCTTCCACCGCTGGTTTTAATGATTATTTACCTAGTTAGATGAACATTAGAGTCAGCAGCATTTCTGTTTTCTAGTTATGCTAGAGGCATGAAGGATGTTAGATTTTGGTTGCTCTTCTTGTTGACCTACCTGGTGTTTTGTGGATGTATAGAGAGATTTGAATTTATGCGTACACTGTTATCCTGGGATATCAGAATCTCTCCTTTGCTACTGTTAAACTAGGACACTTCACCATACCCTTTTTGCAGATCTTACAAAGATCTTTATAAAATTGCATGCAAATGTTTTAGTCCTGTAACTTGTTTGTAGATCTGAGATGCATTGGCCAGATATCCACTTATAAGGAGAAAAGCAAATCAGCCTTAATATGGAGGTTCTTCTCTCCCCTAGCCCTACAAACATTCTCAGTGGAATCACTTATGTCTCTCTAAAAAGCTTCTTGAAAGTTTCGATGGTTCTAAAACTCAATGACCAATAACATCCTTAGACCCAGGCAAAATGTTTCTTCTGAGCTTTGAACTTTAGAGGGTCCTATCACACACACACACACACACACACACACACACACACCACAATTTATTAAAGAATACACAGAATTATTTGTCATTTGGGATCTAGCAGTTGGTGCTGGCACAGTGTGACCAATAATCCTAAATATCTACTCTTTTAACCAATGTTGTTCAAGTCCCAGAAAAAAGCTTCTCTATATTTCTTGCTGTGTGTCCACAAAACAAAAGAAACTGTGTCCAAAGGCCATGAATATTTGTGGATTGCAACCCTGCTGACATCAGAGATGGACACTGCTTTGGAGTGCAGGGAGAATTGAAGCAGTAGAAGGGCTTAATTTTAGAGGAAAGACAAATCAATTAATTAGTCAAATAATATGACATATTATGTAATATGAATACTAGATTATTACCTAACAAAATACAATTTTCCCAAAGGGTCAACTATTCATTTTCTTGCTTCTCTTAATGTTTTAATTTGTGATTCCAGAGAAACTCCTAAATTAGTGCAGGATTTGCAAGGATTAGCCAAAAAATTCTTTATTATATTAAAAAATCCATATTACTCTTAAATTTGCATATATGTAAATAACATGCATGATATATGATACTGATGTTTATAATGCTTAATAGATAGGTTCCAAATACTACAGTTCCAAATAATTTTATTTTTACAAAAATATTTTTAATTTTATTTTTATAGTTTATAATTTTGAAGTTTTAGAAGAAAAATGACTTAAAATATATTCAATTTTTAATCAATTTATTTTTTATATCTTGCATATAATTTTATATTTTAGATGAGAATACACTCAAACATCAATACTTTGAATACAATTACATTTTATGTTTTACTCCTTTAGTCCATGCTCAATCTTCTTAGATATTTGGTTAATTCTTAGTCTTTTGGCAGACCATTACTTAATGCATTTCTTATCTTGTCATTACAAAGGTCTATTTGTCAACATTGAGGAATAGAATATTTAAATCAAGCGTCATTTTTACTATTGCTCCAGCCCTGAAAATATAAGGGCAGATTTGCCTACAGTCTTTCTCAGTAACTTGTTCTAGTGGTTATCATTCTGTTATTTGAAAATTTTTTCTTGTATCTAACAGTTTTCCCTACTGTATCTTAAGCCATTTCTTTTTATATTTCAGATTACACACACACACACACCCATTTATATACATGTGGTAAACATTATCAGATGGGATTTTTAAAAACATGTCTTACAATTTTCCCTGAAAATGAGAATTTAGAATTGTGATTTTTTTCTCACATTTTTATGATTGATTTTTCAGGCCTTATCTCCCTACCGTATACAGAGATGAGTACCTGTTTCTGAAAGGTAAATGAGAACTCCATGATGCTGTTATTATTAATAGAATAGCATTGAAAATATACATCTGAAAAGGAAACAAAATGGAAATGTATTGGAAATACATTTTTCAGGTTGTCTTAATTTTTCTGCAGTTAGCCTAAACTCAAATTATATTTGGCTTGTGTATTACTAGTGACTGTGTGGAAAGCAAGGAAGCTCAGCTGGCTTAGAAGTTTGTCATGCTGGCTGGAGGCTTAGTTGCTCATCTATAAAATATAGAGCTTCTGCTTCCAACCTACTACCTATTTCACAGACATGCAGTAATGTTTTAATGAAAAGTACTTTGAGGTCTTTGGGGGAAAAAAAGATGCTCTCTGTAAACAGAGAGTTGGTACCAAAATGTTCTTTTCATTAGGTCTTTGGATCTCCTTATGAAAGTCCAGGCTACCTAATGGATGGGGATTTATAGACGGCCATTTGTAAAAACATATCCAAGCACACTCAAACATTAA